AAAGAGGTTTTTTTTTTATATCTTTTAATTGAAATGATGAAAATTAACCATCAATCCAGCTGTGAAATCTGTCTTCTTTGAAATAACTAAGTCAGGACGATTTAATATGTAGATGTAACCATGATTTTTTTTGTCATAGGCTGCAGAAACATCCACCAGTGACATATATGAGGAGAACGAGGCAGATGATGAGGACGAGTCAGAAAGTGATGACGAGGATTCCTTCGATGACTTGCACCCATCAGGTTTGCTTGTCTTTTAAGTTTCGTTAGTCACTATTTAAGAACTAGACTTCCTAGGTTCATACAGGGGCAGCTCCGCTTCTGAACTGTGCGGCTTTGGGCAATTGCTCAATCTCTCTGTGTGCCCAGTTTTCCTGTCTGAAAAAGGGGTAAGCTATTGTTGTCCTCCTAAGGTAGGCATGAGATTTCAATTGGATGATCCATGCAATGCTAAGAAAATAGTACCCGACACATAATAAGTTGTTATTATTTTACAGGTTGTGCTGAAAGACTGCAGATGGCAGCTCTTTCTCAGTTAAATGCAAAGCTTACTAGCATTTCATAGGTCACGGCCTCCTAAGGCATCATGATTGACCACAGATGGAATGCCACTTCCCACCTCATTGAGAAACTTAAAATGATGTCATGATTATGAGTGCCCTCTAAAATTTATTATTGATTCACTTATGAGTAGGTACTACTTTATGACAGAAGTAATTGGCATTTGATAAAACACTGTTTTTCTACTCTTTATCGTACAAGTCAAGCACTCTACTAGGTACTGGGATACAGAGATGAAGACACAGGGCCCTCAGCTTTGAGGAACCATAGCCAGTAGAGAGGCAGGCATGTGAGCAAAGAGTGATACTACCACAAGCTAGTTGCATTGAAAGAAGTTTGGCCAAAATGCAATGAAAACAAAGCAGTAAGAGCATAGTAGGTGTAGGGCCTGCCTTAGGGCACTGGAAAGGTTCAGGTAGCAGGAGGTAGCATTGGATGTGAGACTGAAATCAGAGGTGGAATTGACTAGGTAGATAATCAGGAAGAGGGGTACAGTCCTGTCCTCAGGCCTGGCATTCTTTCCTGGCAAAGGAGACAGAGCAAGTTCCTTAAAGGTGGCCCCCTTGTGCTTTGAGGACAGAGCAGGCAGGTGTGCTGGGTGGTGGCCCAGGCCATAGCTGTGCAAAGGAGAGCAGCTTGGAAGCTGCTGGATCTGCCTTCCCAGAGTACTGTCCATGACTCTTCCTGCCTTCAGACAGATGTCCCTCCCCTCAGCCCGTCAGGATCACAGCCTTCATTCTTCTTACCTTTGTTGAAACTCTAGTTTTAATTGTGTTCCTTTTTTTCCCTAGCCTCTATAAATGGCACGGGTACATCCAAAAAACTCAAGACAAAATTTAGAAATGTGAAGAAGAACACCCCCAAGCTGGTGTTTTTAGACGCCAGTTCTAGCCAAATCCATAAGGAGACACAAGCATCTTTTAAAAGTGACATGAAAAACTTCAGACAGAACGTGAAAGACTCTTTGACTCAGGCCAAGGATACCAGGTGAGTCACTTGGTGAGCTTATCAGAATAAACTTGGTGGCATTATTATTGACTTTAGAATGATACACAAGATTATTGACTGGGTGCTTATTTTGTACTAAGCGCTATGTCAAACACTTGACTTACAGAAACAAAGTAATCTCCACAATAGCCTTGCTAGGTAAGGATTAGCATCCCCATCTTTACAGATAAGGAATCTGAGGCATAGAGAGGTTCTGGACCTTATTTGCCTAACATCTTACTGTTAAAGAGCAGAGCCCAATCACACCCAGATACATCCGACTCCAAGCTGTGCTTTCGTTCACACTGATTAATGACTCATAAAATCAGAGAAGATGTCATTGACTGAGTGACTGTTGTATACCAGGCGTTTTACATTACCAGTTTTAATTCTCACTGCACCTCTGAGTTTGATATTAATGTCCTCATTTTACATGTGAGGAAGCTGAGGGTCAGAGGTTA